GGAATTTTAATTACTGAATACTGATGTTGCTATAACCACATAGATCCAGTCGAGTACCTGAGTGGAATGGTGACCTTTTCTGAGCTCCGCAAGGTGTCGACAAGGTTAAGGAAGTTAGATTTTGGCCAACAAAAATTTTGATGGTTTAATATTGAATTTCCAGTCTTACAGCCTGGATGGTGTGCTTACATGTGTCAATGGGCCTAAAAGTATTGATGTGCTGCCATTGTGCTCAATAAAATTATGTGTTTCCACAAACTCTCCTCTCTAAAACTTACTATCTCTCTCTCTTTATTGTATTCCTCCTAGCTTCTCTTCTCCACCTTCCTCAGTCTCCCGGCTTTTCTCATCAAGTTGTTCATTTTTTATCTCAGTTACAGACTAACATGCAAAAAGTTAAAACAAGGTCAGCATAATTAATGCAATGTTAAGATTTTTACCATGTGAAGCTCCTTTTGAAGTCAATGTTTTAATGCGTTAGAGACGAAAACTGAAGGAAGATCATTGATAGAATAGTAATTGATAGAATAGTAATTGATAGAATAGTAATTGATAGAATACTATTATCATTTAGTTTATTTTAGGGAGTTGGAACTGCACTGTTGTACATTAACAGCAGCATCATAATTGCTATCAAGTCGCTTCTCATTTTCTCCTTTGGGAATTTTACTCTATGAGTAATTTATCAAATTTGCTTTGCGAGCAAATAGTTTGATCTAGTACTATAATGATAGAAGCTACATATATGGCCTAATTAGATATATAGCAAATCTTAGTCATACGTTTAATATCATCACGTGATTCTAATTGCTGACAAGACACTAAAACAAAATGGAAAGAAGTGGACCTAATTTAGAGGCTGAACGTAAGACTTAAAATCAATTGTGATATCATGATTCTTGATTTTACAGATAATTCTAGCAGTTTTTGTTCTTGTAATTTATTCAAGTGTGTGTTTTGGATCAATTTTATTGTGATGGTGATAATTGTGGTGGTATCTACTACAGTGTGTATTTTTTTCCTTCCACCTGATTTGAATGGTGTTCTCATCCTTCTACTTGTTGTATTGGGGAGTTTATGTTGCTGGCTTTACTGTCTTTTTTCAGTCATTTCTTGTGTCCGTTCTATTTTTGTTCTTAAAAGAAAAGCTAGTAGGAAGCTAAGAAGAAGAGAACTCCTCATTTATTATTCACTAAATACAAATAATCAATTTAATCGCAAGCAACAGTTACAACCTTTACATAGCAGACAGGAGTCAAACAATGAGTTTTGTAGAATTTCTGAATCAAAATCAATGTCTATAAATGATGAAATGCCACTTATAAAAATTGAAACTAAGAATCCAAGTATTCATAATTCTCCCACATCTGCTAATTGCTTTGTTGTCAATGATTGCTCTAATGAAATGCCATATTCTCCTTTAATTCTTCCT